CACCCCCCCCCCCCCCCCCCCAAAAAAAAATTTCTGGGTTTTGGAGTTTAGAAAGTGGGAGTTCATACATGTGATAGTAGATTTCACCGTTTGGCCAGATTTTTTGACCTGCTGTTTTAGCAGTTTTTGGCTCCTCAGGTGTTTAAATGACAAATCATTCTGTTCAATCAAAAATTGAATGGCCTGCCATTTATGGTGCTGTTCAGTTGGTTATTATATCTTTGGTTAATTTAACATGGTTTCGGTGTTGATACATATTGCATTGGAGAAGACTTGGGTTGGATAGTGATCTATTCTACTTGTTATAGTTATGCCTTTGGTTTTTATATTGCAAATGAACAGCCGGTTATGTTATTTTTTCTGAATCAGGCTCCAGGTCAGAGGGTTCTGGAAGGAGATGAAAGAGGTTGCCTGCCCTACTTGTACAGTCCATTTGCAGGTTCAAATACTTCTGCTTACAATTTTGTAAATTGTCATGTTGCATTCTTCACAATTTCATCGTGGAGAACAAAATTGGCACAGGTTCAAGTTCCCAGTTCAGGCTCCGAGACCATAGAGTGCGGGGTTTGCCAGCATCCTTTCCTTGTCAGTTCTCACTGATCTATGCGCGATTGATGGTCATATTCCCCTTCACGGTCTATTTCTTTCATTGGTTGAGTTGTCTGGCTAATAATTTTGGTTTGCTCGCAATCGTCCTTTGGTGATTCTTCTGAATTGAGGACAATGAGCTGGTTTTGCATTAATTTCTGTATTTTGGAAATCATATAATTGCTTTATCATGTTATGCATAGAAGTTAATTTGACATATAAATGTAAATCAGATATTTATGTCAATGAGGGCGTTCTACCTTACTACAACAATCAGATACAATGTTTATGTGCATCATTTTGTCATGTTATGCAATATTAGACATACATATTTTTGTTAATTTCATAATTTCAAAATAATATTTCGAATTTTTAAATGCAAACCCTCCATATAATTAATATAAATAAATCACTAGGTTTTTGTTACATATTTCTCAATATCTAAAGGCAAGTGAACGCATTGTGGACTATTTTTGAGTTTGCAAGGAAAAATAGCATCAAAATAGCATTTGCAGGTGATGGTTTTCTTCAAGCAAAGACCATCTCAAACTAGCAAGTATATTAATCATATAACCAAATATTTCGTAGAGGAAAAGACAGAAGAATCTTTGATTTTCTTGTACATTTTGATTTCAAAATATGAAGTCCAAAAATATGAGTATTTACTAACTTGCAAAAGAACCATGTTTAGGCGATGTTGGCCAGCGAAGACTCTCCTATTACAAAGTCGCGGGATTTGTCAATGGTCAACACTATGAATTAAACTTGAGTTCGTATGCATAATTGTTTAACAATAATTATATTTTTACAGAATTATTGGCCACAGAAATTGGCCAGAAAACTCACATGGGGTGGGCCCATGTGAGTAAAACACACGGAAAATTTGTCAAATATGACCTTGATGCCAATATACTTGTGACATACTTGACACGTTGGATTGTACAATACTGATAAAGATTTTTAGAAAAAAAGATATTTAAGATTTTATTTATTACCTTGTCTAGTGAAGTGTTGTCCAGTATAACAATGCTACATTTATTAAGTCTGTATTTTACATTCATTCCATTTTTTTTTCTCTCTTTCTTCATTTCAACAATACATTCTATTAATAAAATAATATTACACATAACTCAAAAATTCTCTTTTTCGCCAAAATGGGTGTCAAGCACCAGCTAAATGTGTAAAATTCACAAGCTACGCCAAGTCGGATCACTATCAAAGGCTAAGTGTTGTGCAGTGTGGACATGATGTTTTGTCATCTAAAGAGTATAGCAGAACAAGCATTTATACAGTTGTTTGTTGGAAGTTAATGGGCTAGCGGCTAAACTAGAAGTTACCATGAGGGGCGGACGCAGAACTTTAACGTTGGGGGGCACAATCGAACTTGCAAAGAAGTTTGTAGAATTTTTACAAACGAAAATTTACATCCAAAAAAATCATACTCCATGTAATTTTACATCTCAAAATTTACATGAGATATGATTTTTTCGGATGTAAAATTTCGAAATTTTTTGAAAATTTCCTAATAAAATGATGAAAATTATATTGAGAAATTTGTATCGCAAAAATAATAAATGTTAATGAAATAATTGATTTTTTGTTTAAAAAAATGCGAGTTAGACGTCTTTTTAAAGGTTCACGTTTAACGTATTTTTAACTGTTTTCGATATATGTTTGAACTATTTGATATGTCCATAATGTAATTCTTAAAATAAGTTTCGAAATGATACAAATAATTTGTAGATTTAATTAGCATATTATCGTCGGAGAATTTTTAAAATTTGTATATTTCGACATTCAAATTTATTTTTATTTTACTCCTGTTTGGTGGAGATTAAAATCAAATTTTTAGTAAATTTGGGTACAAATTAAATAGTTATGAATTTCATGAAAATATGTTTTTAACTTCGATTTAGATTAAAATTTAAATTTCAATCGATAACAAACGTGATTTAAAAAGGAAAAAAAAATGAATCTCAAAAGTTGGGGGTACCTGCCCCCCAGGACCCCCCTTGGGTCCGCCCATGGTTACCATTGATTTCGTCTACACTGGCTCAAATTGCCATCACATTTGTTTCTGCCTACGTTTGGCTCGACCAAAATCGATAAAATATCAAGGTCAGCACAAGCTTGAATTTTTAACCATAAACAATTGAGTTTTTGTTTGGTAACCTTCAATCAAGTCTCTATGGTGACAAATGGGTTGAGTCACTTATGAACTTACAAGCTCAAATAGTCTCGGTTCGGTTAAGTTCAGTTTATGGACCACTCAAGCTTGTATGGAGACCCGCGATGAGCTTGAGCCTGAGTCAAGATTGAAAATTTTTCACGAGCCAACTAGTCTTGAGCTTGTGGGTCGGCTCGTTTTTAGTTTATTTTTTTAGGTTTTTAAAAAAATAAAAATAAAAAACGAGCCAGCTGTAAGGGTCAAGTTGAGCCTTGTTTATGGACACGGGCGGCTTGCCCAAACAAAATTCTATACGCAATGCTGTGGATGCATATGGTATTTTGCTGAAAACCATATTCGATGTGTTTGGATTTTCACAGCCCTCATATTTGTGCCCACAAATATGTATATTTTGACCTATATGCTAGATTTAGACACAAGAGTTGGTATGCACATCATTAATGAGCTTGGAATTAATTTCACAGTATGGCATTTTTTTTAGTTGGTTCAGAATGAAAGACATGCAATTTGCTCTGTTGTATGGGAAACGATGCCCATTCCTGATTGCCTATTTACCTAACATATCATGTGATCTGAATAGAAAACCAATAATTTGACTTTTATATCAACAATAAAAGCAATTTTGAGGTCTAAAGGTTGAAGAGAAGATGCCAACACAAGCACGATTTATGCATCCGACACTAGAAAGTAGAAGTCCAACACGACTCACGCGCACTCGAAAGAAAAAAAATGCGACTATCTTTTACGTCGACTACGAGAAATCAAACAAGGTAACCTTCATTAATGAGAGAATAGAATGGAACATGTATGGTAGGTTAACCCTTACCTACATTGGAAATAATAAAATCAAATTCAAGATGAAAATCCGACAAAAAAAAACTATAAAACAGTAGGAAAAAATGCTGAAACAGCAGGTGCGTTAAAGCTACTACTTATCCCACTACTTTCTGCTCTGCAGGGTAGTGTTGAATAGCAATGCAGTTCTTCTGCTTAGAACTATTTCCCTTTTTGGTATTGTTAGGTGTTTCTCTTTCGTTTCTTGTTTGTATTGGTGAATCAGTGATAGAATTACCAGAAAACGACACAATTCCAGCAGTTTTTGTATTTGGGGATTCCATAGTTGATACTGGTAACAACAACAACCTCAAAACAATATTCAAAGTCAATTATCCTCCGTATGGCCAAGATTTTTTGGGAGGAAAGCCAACCGGAAGATTTTCCAATGGGAAAGTCCCCTCTGACTTAATTGGTAATAGTCATATTTCTCTTTCAAGGGTCTAAGGCTAGTAGATCTAGTGATGAACTGAATGGAGTCGAGAAAACAAACACATGTTCTCAACCCAAAATTTATAGAAACATGGCTTAATCTGTTTTTGTTGTTGTTGCACATGGGGAAATATGCTTCCCTTTTGGATTGGTTGTCGGAGAGGAGGGATACGAAACCTTAACATTGTGGTCCGTAGCCACGTACTCTAATCCTCTGAAGCCCCACCCAAGGCGATGTGTGAGCATATGCGTGCCACTATTTTGAGTCATTTCTCCTCAATGCTAAACTATTTTTCATTAAATGTCTTTATTTCAGCTGAAGAATTGGGAATTAAACCTCTTCTGCCCGCATACCTTGATCCATCACTGCAAGCTCAAGATCTCATTACAGGTGTAAACTTTGCATCTGGAGGTAATGGATATGATCCTCTGACATCTGATCTTGCGGTATCTTCCTCACTTTATTTTTTGAAATCGATTTCAATTATTGCTCATTCATTGTTCCAAACTTATGCTAATTTGTTAATCTTCTGGTGAAATGCAGTCCGTCTTGTCGTTGTCTGATCAGTTAGAAATGTTCAAGGAGTATATAATCAAGCTTAAAGGGATTGTTGGAGAAGAACGCACATCCCAAATCTTAAGAAAAAGTCTAGTTACAGTTGTTACCGGCAGCAATGACGTTACCAATACATATTTTGGTTCGCCTCTGCGAAAATCCATTTATGATATTTCCTCGTATGCCGATCTAATGGTCAGTTCTGGTTCCAGATTTGTTCAGGTAAAATCTGGCGTCATTACACTTTTGCTGCATGTTGAGTATGTAGTATTCGACTAGACTAAACACTAAAGTGAATAACATTTTCTTTTTTCCCCTCTCAAATGCGGTCCAGTATTTCTGCTACACGTTATCAAGCATGTGACAATATGTTTAGCTCAAAAATGCAGAAAACCAACATTTGTACATTTTTATTTACATCATTTGCAAGAGAATATCCAGGAATTATGACTTTGCACAAAATAAAGTCAATATTTTTACAAATCAGAACTATCTCTTTACAGTAGTTGAAGGGTAACACTAATTTGTTTTCTGTGCATTACGTTCAAGGACTTGTATGGACTGGGCTTGCGTAGAATTGGTGTTTTCGGATTACCACCACTTGGATGTTTACCATCACAAAGAACTTTGAAAGGAGGAGTGACAAGAAAATGTGTCGATTCTTATAATCAAATGTGTCAGTTATTCAACAAGAAGTTATCAAATGAGCTGACCTTGATTAATGGCATACTCCCTGAAGCAAGGATGATTTACCTTGATATCTACAATCTTCCACTCGATGTCATCCACAACCCGAAAAATTATGGTAAACCATCCATCTTTTTTCTTCAAGAAATATTTTTAAAAATATGACCGTAGACTTTCATGGTGTTGAGGTCTGTAGCAAAATATTGCAGTAAAAACGACGAATGGATAGCTCAAGGCAAGACGTTATGTTGATCAAAGATAAAAGGGAATAGTAATTAACAAGAACAACACTATATTTAAGCAGAGATTTCCCCTGTATATTGCACTGAATTATAGGAAAGGCCAACAGCTTTTCAGGAATTTTAGACTTCTTCTTTATTAAAAAGGATAATTCTCCCTCTGTCCCCACTTTCTCCGCCCCATTTTTCCAGTCTCACCTTTCCCCACCTCCTCCTACATGAAGTCTAGAATAATACTCATTTCTTATTAAGCGCTACTACTTTTCATGCATCATTGCATTCTTGATAAATGCATGTTCTTCATTACAAAACTTTAAATTGAATTTGCCTTGTCAGGATTCGGAATTTCGAATATTGGGTGCTGTGGCACAGGAACAATAGAAGTAGCATTTCTCTGTAAATGTACATGTTCAAATGTATCTGAGTATGTTTTCTGGGACAGTTTTCATCTCACAGAAAAAGCATACAGGCTTCTTGTGCATCAGATCCTCGAGCAATATATGAAGGATTTCATCTGTGAAAAGCCATTCTGCTGATTACAGTAACTATCAACATTATTTGCCCTTCCACTTGAAGTACAGCTGCCAACATTATTCTTTGCCTTGCTGAAATGACTAACACTCTACTCATCCATAATGTTGTTTTAATTTTACTCATAGCCACTCTAGGAGCAGATATTCAAGATTTTCATTAAAAATTGTTGGCGTGTTTGGCAATAGGATTGAACAATGTCAATGCCGTCGAGTATTACCTGCCAAACATGCAAGTATGTTTTTATCATTTGAAAGAGTACAAAATTCTTGCGACATGTTTGGTCAGTACCATACATGTACTTGGTGGATTATGTATAAGTTGCTAAGAAGTTGAATTTGTGTAAAATATGCAAGAATGAACAATTTTCATTGTTCATCACGAGTGTTGGCCTATTGTTATGTAATTCTTGTTCAACCACCTCATATTTGTTTGGTAAATGAATATGAAAGACAAGAAGATATGAATATGAAATGGGATTTAACATAAGTGAGAATAATACAGATGCAAACCAAACATGGAGTGGATTTTTATTTCATTTTTTTTCTTAAGAATACACAATTAGTTAATGAGAATATTAGGTCCCTATTTGGTAGAGATTAAAATCAGATTTTTAGTAGATTTTGATAAAAGTTGATAAAATGTGTGGTTAAAATCAATTGTTGATTTTGACTTGAGATTTTAATTGAATTTTAATCCAAACCAAACAAGGGCTAGATGTCTGTGGTGAAAAATAGTCATCCATTTAGTTTTTTTTTTGTTAAGACAACAAATGAAGAAAATGTCTATTTTACTCTCACTATCTTCTATTGAAGTAGCGGTACAACTCGACCAATTTCGAAGAGTTGAGGTGTAACCACCATTCCAAATGGTCGCTTAATTAAGAGTAGAGTTTGGTTTGCATGGTGACTCTAAAAATTGTTGACATCTGGCCTATTAGGCCATTAAGAATATGAAAGTTAAGAGAAACAACCTAGACAAGGTATGAAGAGTCACTCTCATTGTGACTAAAGCCTGAAAAGGAAGATTGAGCAATTTTGAGATAAAAAGGATTTTTATCCAACCTTTTCAAATATTTGCTAATTTACCCCCCAATTTAATAACTTAGAAACATTTTATACAATGCCAGTGCCACAGCTAACCTAGTACAGAGCTGCTCCTTCTGATAGCCTAACATTTTATTTCATCCAATTAGCAACCCATTTATGACTTGTTATATACTTTTACAACAAAAATTGAAGCAATTTGAGGTCTAAATGTTGGGAAAAACGGGAGATTTGTGTTTTAAGAATTTATCAATTAACATAACATAAACATATAATTCAACAATAACATAAGAAGAGAGTTAAAAAAAAAAAGTTTTAGGGAGATGCTTTTCCAAAGTCTTATTGCCTCCCCTTCGTGCGAGTATTTTCGACACTATAGGGCTTCAATATAAAACTCATACGACTCAATCGGTACTCTTTCTATGAGCACCACAGGAAGATAAGGAACGAGTCTCTCATAGTGTTGTCAAAATATAGAAAATGGTATGAAATAGTATTTTACAAATTGTGTTTTCCCCATTATAGTTATTAACACCATGGAAATTGTAGCGGAATTGATCTTCAATTGGTGGTTTCGGGCTCAGTTTAAACTTACCAATCTAAACTTCAACTCACAACTTGATTGCTTTCTTCCTTCCTCACCCACAAAGGAACAAGGTTATGGTGGTGATTTACAAACCACAAAGACAAGGAGAAAAACAACAAAGACAAACAACACGAAGCACGGAGGCAAGAAGCAGCCACGGTTATTCTCTTAAAAGCACAAAACACCCACTCTTGACAATGGTACACAATGGATATATATAGTATACGTTATATCATCAATTGGGCCATGATACAAGAAAGCCATCTTATAAGTGAATTTGGGCCAAGGTAACATTAACAAATTAAGTTGATACTAGTAGCCCATGTTACTTTCGAGTCGAACATGTAAATTGATTTTATTGATAAATATTTCACTTATCGGTCGAGACCTATGAAATATAATCCAAACTGTTTAACATCATTTTCCGAGAATTTTGAGGAAATTCCATGCATTACCTTTAATAATATAATAATTCTTATAATACATTATATCAATTTTTATTCTTTTTCTACCGCATTTTTTTAGAATAAAAAGTGAAACACAAAAACTACACACACATTAAATTCTTTATATAGGCAGCATATGTTACTCCGACAAACAAGCCACAGTAAATTTCACAACACCCAACCAAAATCCCCAACTTTCAGCCCTTATCTCAATAAACCCCAAATTACAGAGAACAAACAAAATCTAAAAATTTCCAAATCATACAATTCAAAAAATCACAAATCATCCCACGGATCACTCACCTTCAACACCCATGCCGTGAAATCCATAATCTCTATTTCTAGAAATGATCTTTATCATTCTTTATTGTTGATAATCACGTTATTTGTGTTAAGGGATATAAATCCTACATCGAATAATGATGTAAACACAGACCAATTAATAAAGATCCTGGGCTACTCCTCTTAATAAGGTTGATCTTTTAAGATAGACCCCCAAATCTTAACATGGTATCAGAGCCCATTATGCTCCAACGAGCGATTCCATCCCGGTAAGACTCCAAAAAAAATGAGCACGTGGATTTCAAGATTGGTCTGCTCAAACGAGCCACCATCTTGCGGGAGCGTGTTAAGGGATATAAATCCTACATCGAATAATGATGTAAACACAGACCAATTAATAAAGATCTTGGGCTATTCCTCTTAATAAGGTTGACCTTTTAAAATGGACCCCCAAATCTTAACAATTTGTTCAAGAATATAAAACCCCTTTCGAATTAGTAGATCATTACAACTCGACGAAGGTTGAATAATGACTTCACCTAGCCGGCGTAAGACTATGCGCTAGGATGTCCATCGAAGATTCACCAATAAGGATATTCCAAATTGCCCATTACCCATGGGTTCAATCATTTCCATGTTAGTGTTGAATGAATGAATGAAATGCCACACGGTGATGTATTTTTTGGCAGCAAAACTATTATTGCGAATGACACTATAAACGTAATCAATGGATGTTGACTGATTTGTAACAGGTTACACGAATATGAAAACTCAAACTTATTCTAAAGGATATCTTCATAAATCATATTCATCAATCAACATTCTAAACTTTACCCGACAATCCTTTTGCAAGATACTTGTGCTTACGCTAGAGTTCCATACCCCTTTTGCGCTTCTTTATCTTTTCCGTCACGAAGCCAAAATTGAAAGAAATTTAACAAAAAAAATTATAGAGACAAGAAGATTACAATGTAGCGATTAGGTATTAGAAACATATTACATATGCGTATTGACTCTAATTTTCTCAGTCTAGTTGTTACAGAAGATGATACTACTAGAGGAGAATTTATTACAGAATTGAACTTAGATTCTTCACTGTCACCATTGTTGCTATTATTGCATCATCAATTTCTTGATTTGATTTTGAATCCCCAACTTTTCAGCATTATCAATTAAATACATCCGTTTCTAGTCTGCAAGCTTAGTTGTGGGTATAGTTATGGGTGTAATATGGAAAGATTTAAAGTATTTGTGGTGCTCTTTTTAAGTAATGTAATATTTCCAAGCTTTATTTTAGTAAAGTAGTATTTATATTTAAGATAGTTGTGATTTACTGGGTATCAAAACCCAACAAAAATCACTCCCTTTTACAAGGAAAAAACCAATCCCACAATCATGTAAAAATTAATGGTTTTAATTTTGTATTTAATCTGAAAATTAAAAACAAAAATTTAAAATTTAAAAGATATTAATTTGAAAATTTAAAACTTTTAATATTTATGTTAAATGTTTCTCATCAAGATAACACATTTACCGCGGAAATTTTTTGAAGTGAAATTCCTTAGAGGTTGAAAGAAGATGTCAACACAAACATAATACATGTTGAAGACCAAGTATTTCACAAT